ATCCAATCCAGTGTTAATGGACACCTAGGTTGATTTCATGTCTTTGCTATTGTCAATAGTGCTGTGATGAACATAGTGCATGTATGAGATAAAAGACCTCTACAAGGAGAACTACAAAACACTGCTGAAATAAATCATAGATGACACAAATAAAAGGAAAAACATTACATCCTCATGGATTGGAAGAATCATTATAGTTAAAATGACCATACTGCCCAAAGCAATGTACAGATTCAACACTATTCCTATCAAACTATCAACATCATTTTTCACAGACCTAGGAAAAACTATTCTAAAGCTCATACAAAACCAAAAAAGAACCTCAGTAGCCAAAGCAATCCTAAGCAAAAAGAATAAAGTCAGAGGCATCACATAACCTGATTCCAACTATACTATAGGACTAGGGTAACCAAAATGCCAAGGTACTGGTACAAAAACAGATACAAAGACTAATGGGACAGAAGAGAGAACCTAGAAATAAAGTCCCCACCTACAGCCATCAGCTCTTCAACAAAGCCAACAAAAATAAGCAAGGGGAAAAGAACTCCCTATTCAATAAACGGTGCTGGGATAGCTGGCTAGCCATATACAGAAGAATAAAACTGGATCCCTACCTTTCACCATATATAAAAATTAACTCAAGATGGATTAAATATTTACATGTGAGACCTTAAACTGTAAGAATCATAGAGGAAAACCTAGGAAACACCATTCTGGACATCAGCCTTGGGAAAGAGTTTATGACTAAGTCCTCAAAAGCAATCACAACAAAAACAAAATTTGCTGAGTGGGACCTGATTAAACTAAAGAGATTCTGCACAGCAAAAGAAACTATCAACAGAGTAAACAGTCTACAGAATGGGAGAAAATAATCACAAACTATGCATCCAGCTAAGATCTAATATCCAGAATCTACAAGAAATTTAAACAACTGAACAAGCAAAAAACAACCTCATTAAAAAATGGGCAAAAGACATGAACAGACACTTTTCTAAAGAAGACTTACAAGTGGCCAACAAACACATGAAAAAAGTGCTCAACATCACCAATCATCAGAGAAATGCAAATCGAAGCTACAAGGAGGTACCATTTCATACCATTCAAAATGGCTACTTATTAAAAAGTCAAAAAACAATGAGGCTGGTAAGGCTGTGGAGAAAAGAGAACACTTATACACTCTTGGTGGGGGATGTAAATTAGTTCAGCCACTGTGGAAACAGTTTGGAGATTTATCAAAGAACTTAAAACAGAACTACGTTCGACCCAGCAATCCCATTACTGGGTATATGTTTTAAAAAAAAATTGTTCTGTCTTCTGTCTTTGAAACACTCCTTGCTGATAACAATTCTTATTCAGATTGCTTATCTCCTTAGACCAATCTCCCAACATAGATAGTGATTTCTAAAATTTATTTCTAAATATGTTCATTATTCTATAATAAACTATAAACTTTCCCAAATCTGACTGGGCATGGTGGCTAATGCCTGTAATCCCAGCATTTTGGGAGGCTGAGGCGGGTAGATCACTTGAGGTCAGGAGTTCGAGACCAGCCTGGCCAACATGGTGAAACCCCATCTCTACTAAAAATACAAAAATTAGTCTGGTGTGGTGGTAGGCACCTGTAATCCCAGCTACCTGGGACGCTGAGGCAGGAGAATCACTTGAACCTGGGAGGTGGAGGTTGCAGTGAGTTGAGATCATCCCATTGTGCTCCAGCCTGGGCAACAGAGACTGTGTCTCAGGGAAAAGAAAAAAAAAAAACCACACATCCCCAAAAAATATATAATTCATGCTAAATATGTTCGATTTACTATTAATATAATGCCATATATAGCAACCCCAATAGCTCAAGACATAGACACTTAAAAGACATTTTTGCCTTCTTAAATTGTATGGTAAAAAATGAATTAGTAAACTTTTAAGTAACAAAGATCCTCTGTTGTCAATGAGTGATATTATTGAACGCTAATGTTCAGCTTTAGGTCAAAAAACAGTTACTGCAAAATGCTGGTTTGCATCTAGGCCGATGTGAACAGCAACTGCTAGCAATTTAATCATTTATAGAAGGAAACAAAGTCACTTTAAATTAAAATGGCTAGAAATTTAAAAACTGAGACTACAGAATTTCAGGACATAACAAGATTTTAGGGTTAGCTAGTCAAACTTCATCATTTTTTCAAGGAAATGGGACCTAGAGAAATCCAAAGTCATAAAACCTGGCAGAGCCAGGGCCTATATGGAATGTTAGAACCCAGTGATTTTCCCAGTTACCTAGAGGAAATCTAGAATCTAACATTTTCACATTCTGAAAATGTTTACATGACTAATATTTACTATTATGTACTTACATTCTAATTGAAGCACTTTTGTAGGCAAAAATACCTCAATTTCAGTGTCATTAGAAAACAAATTATTATGACATAAATATGTATTCAGATGTTCCAACGTTTCCACCATTTTCAGATTTAGTCCTGCTTGTTTCCACCACTCTGCCTTTTCCAGATTAATCACAAGGCTTTCTTCTTTAATAGAAAGTATCTTTTTCAAATCTGTAACTGAATATTGGCTGTGGGGCTCTTGAATTCTTGGCACTTACAAAAATAAAAATAAAAAACAGTTAGAAACAGGCTACAAAGCAAAAGAAACAAAACACAATAAACAGAACCACACTGGAATTTCTTTATGAAATGCATTTTCATGCATTAGAAAAAAAGTGAAATCTGAAGTTATAGCTGGTATTTTTGTTCTCAAGATGCTAGTATTTGTAAAAGTTCAAGCTATTATAGCAGTAGAAGTCACATAAAGGATTTATTTCACTCTTTGAAAATATCAAGAAGTTAAAATTATTCTAATATTTAGTAGGACAAGGAACTCTTATTTTGTTTGACCATTTTCAATTACTAAATTAATATGTTTGATTAACATTTTGAAGTAATATAAGCTTTGTTAAATTAGAAATTCTAACTTATTATAATAAGCCTAAACAAGAAGATGTATTTGTTCAGATTTTATGATGACTATATCGTCTTAGATATTGTGGTACAAAGCTTACTGCCTCATTACTTTCTAGCCTAAACAGGGAGAAATCATAACATATAGAGGAACTGAAGTAGCACAACTACCTAATATTATTATCTGCATTATAAACATCAACCTGAAATTAGGATTATAAATTTTGAAACTCTAATTTTGGAATGGTGCTTTTATAATGACAGTAATATTAAGAATAAATTAAAACTTAAAAATACTAATATTAATAATAGTAATTACGAGTTACTAAAAAACATCTGGCGCTGTGCTAAGTGCTTTCTTTACAC